AGAGAGAGAGAGAGAGAGAGAGAGAGAGAGAGAGAGAGAGGGCGATCCTGCCGGAATGTACTCCGCGTCGCCTTTGTCCGTTAAGCGGTGGGTGGCGGCGGTGGAATTACACCAGCACACACCGGTCGTACCGGTCGCCCCGGTGGTCTAGTCTAGTGGGTAGCCTCGCAGCCTGCTAAGGGCCAGGTCATGGGTTCGAGTCCCGGCAGGAAGAGTTTTTTTCTCACTAAATAAATCCTGGTCTAGGATGAAAGCGACGCGCTGCAAAGCTCGTTTGTTATTAAACCATAATCAATCGACTTCGTAAATCGCGAGGGCAGGGATTGCTGTACCCTTCTCGCGATAAAAATACCTCAGGCATGAACCGCAGGAGGGGGTCCAACCCCCCCCTCCTATGTGACCCCGGTTGGGTCGTCTTGCCAGTAGAAGTGGAGGACAGGGGCCAGAGGGGCAGACGGCAGAGTCCAATGATGGGAGAGAAACAAACAAAAAACAAAAAAAAACACAGATACATATCGAATGCCGTCGATCGTATTCGGCACGGGGTTGCGATGGACCCGGCCGGGTCTACAGCAGTAATCCGGCGTCAGCCTACATGATTCCAGTGTCCGTTTATCCATGTATCGGCCGGCATCTCACAGGAGGGAGATAGCAGAGGGAATTTCCCTGGCAAGCACTTGTTGGTCATGTCCCACACCTTCCCTCTGGCGCGGATGCGACCTTCGATTTCAAACGCGCGAGACAGTCTGGACAACGTCAAATACCACTCGCAATACTGTAAGTGGACAAAACACAAAAATTGATTTTGTTGTTTAGAAAAATGTCCACCATCATCGTGTGGGTACAAGGCTGGCTACAGATATATTTGTAAAGGTATTTTTTTTATTCGCTGAGCTTCGCTGTGGGCTGGTCGAGCCCAAACACGTCGTCAGCTTGTAGGAGCTGTTGAGCTTAGGAAACCTCACACCGCCCTTGGCAGTTGGCTTTTGCTTGGTCCTGCAGCCTACTATTTTCCATCTTCCATCGCCCCTTGATGGCCTTATGCTCTCACGGGCCCACTCAGGGAGGGATCACTCGAAAGGTACTTAGTCTACAATTGCACCTTCCGTAGCTGCATAACAAGGACCGGGGTCCGACGTCGGCCAAAGAGGTGGAAGCGCGGTATTCCCCAATCCCTCGCCGTCGATACTGTGGGCTACAAAATTCAAGAATGTCGCCGAGGAATGAATCTCGACCCAACGTCCGAAAAATTCGAATGCTGCATTTTACCACAAAAAAAAAACATGCCTGATACCTTCACCTTTCCGAGGTTTTCCGCCTACGTACTACCAGCGCGTTGCGCGAATCAATTCCTCGATTGATTATGCTTCTTCATGTTCTCAAAAGAAATGTGTTGATCATCATACGTCACAGCAGTGTTGCCTCGCTCCAAAATCAAGTCCGCATGAATGTAATGCATGAGCATTTCATACCACCGACTCACTCAAACAATAGTTTCAGGGGGCTGGACAGCAGAATGACAAAGTCGCGAATCAGCCCTTCACCAGAGGTTAAACCAGAACCCTTTCCACGTCGGGCCTGGACGCCAACCGAGCCTCGGTTCCGTCAAAATACGAAACAAGCCAACATCCATTTTGAACGCCAACTAACTCCGGTAAGACTTAACACTAAAACGGTCCATCTCAGTTGGTTCTGAACACGGTTCAGCAAACGAACGACCACAAGCGGAGACCGAAGTCCCCCCGGCCTGGGCGACTGGCAATCCCGGCCAGTAGCGGCCGCTTCGGGTGGAACTCGACGGCCTGAGATTTCGCCCCGGGTAACGAGTGTGCGGAGGCCGCTGTCTCGACTTCCGCCTTAGGTCGCCGATGGATCGGCCCACGGGCGCCGCGCGGAGCGGAGCGAAAAAACAAAAAACAAAAGCAAAAAAGAAAAATTACCGCAGGCAGACACCGCGCGGAGTTCCATGCGAGGAGAGGCGGAGGGCGTGTGTGGCAGGTAGAACGTTAGACTCAAGGGGGAGGGGAGGTGCGCGCGTGGGCGGATGACATGCATGACTGACAACAAAATCCCCTGCCAAGAGTATAGGAGCTGGGGTGCGGAGGAGCCCGCGAAGCTTGCAGAAGGAAGGAAGGCTTGCTGCGAAGAAAGGCAAAGGATACGTTGCTGAGCCGCCTGGGCTTGTGGTTGATTTGGGTCGGTCAGACGTTGTCGGGGTGCGCGACATCGGTGCTTCTGGAGCAAAATAGTCATCCGCAGAACATACGCAAAGATCCTTCCAGCAAGAGTGTCACACACCGCACTCGTGGGGGAAGCACTCCAAATCAGATTCTGCCGCAAGCAAGCAGGGCATCTGCTTCAGCAACTCACGATTTCTACGTCACCGCCCGATATGCTGATGGCGATGAACCTTCCGTCCGGGGTGAAGCTAAGAGATCGCACCTCTCCCCTGATCACAGCGGCAGGAAATCCATGTCGGCGAGTGAGCGCTAAGGAAAAAAAATGCGGGACGCTGTAAGTGCTGTGCGTAGGCAGCCACCACCAACTCCTGAGTGATGAAGACCAAACAACGACAACAACAACGCAACAACAGCGACAACCACAACCACAACAAGGACAAGAACAATGACAACAACGTGAAAGTCGATGACGACCGAAACTCACTCGCACGCGATGGTACGCACGCAGACAAAGTCGTCCAGCTCCCAAAGCGACACCAACCCGTCGTCCCCGCCGCTCGCCAAGTACCTGCCCGCGCGAGCGCGGGGGGGGGAGGGGCGCCTCAGAACCGCGGCGGATTGCCGAGGTTGTTGGGTATGTACAAAAAGAAAAAACCGATGCTACACGGGGTAAGACATACAGGCAACCGGAGGGGGACTACATGCCGGCAGTCCCCAGTGGGTGAGGGCGTGGTGGAGAGCTCATACGACGTGAGGAGGGAGAGGCCTGAACAGAGTGGGCAGACAGACGGGGGGAATGGCAGTCGACACGCTCTCCCTAACAGCTTGCGCGGCGAGTGACATGCAAGGCTCGTACTACCGGCTAGGACAAAGATTCAGGAAGAGCGGCAAGGTGACGGGTACGTCCATCGGGGCTAGGAGATGTGGCGGAACGCACGGAGGTGAAAACGCGAAAGTCAACCGTGATGGCGCCTTGAAACGAAGATGTAAGCAAACGTACACAAAGGGCTAGGGCCCCCAAAGCAGGCTGGTGGATAGGCGGAGGCGCAACGGTACATGCCCCCACCGACTTGGCGGCATCATGCGAGGTTCTTGGAGAATACGCAAAAAATCAATATCTCTTGTCTGTAGCTAGAGAAGGGGACAGCTCTCTCTCTCTCTCTCTCTCTCTCTCTCTCTCTCTCTCTCTCTCTCTCTCTC